GCTGAGTGAGTCCGCCAACTTATCCTCCATCGCGGCTAGGGCGCGGCCGATGGGAAAGGGCCAGTATGTATCATTCTCGTAGTAGCCAAAGTGGCGAGTGCCACCGAGGAACAATCGATATCCGATTCGTGATTCGAGCGACAGGTAGTAGGATTGAAGTTGGGGGTTGTTGTTGATCGATGGTTCAGATTCAGTATCGGACGCCATTTTCGCAAGTTTAACTCTAGATCGCAGGTGCTAGGGAGAAACCCGCAGGTCGAGAGGGGAATGAATTTGTAGTCGTGTCGTTGTCTGGAGGGAAGTCTGCCTTGGTGTCGGAGCTGTTGGGTCCATCTCATATCACGTGAAAGAAACTGTTATTCGTACAGTCTCTTATTGCTATTTGTACAGCCTTTATCACGTGACTAGCCTGTTTTGCCCTTCCTTCGCCATCTTCCCCTCAACTCCTTTTTCTATACTACGTCTATCCCATTCTTCTGCAAGTATTAGCTGCGATTCTTGAGGGCCCAGATGCTTCTAGAAGTAGCTGGATACCAATTTCCCTACTGTTTGCATGCTATAACTTGTTCAATAACGTTCTCAGCTTGCTTCAGACTGCCTCAAGAAGGGAGAACGGTGCACGGGGGAAGATGCTAAATGCGGGGCAAAAAGTGTGTGGTTATGTGACAAAGGCTGTGCGAATAATAACACCTACCTAGGCACTCAAGAAAACGAGGGGCGATGTGGCCTACGTAATTTGAGGCTGGGTGTGATGGGAGTTGATCAACGATTTGATTGGTGCTCGAACCGCCGATCCCATGATAGCGCTACGTAGGCAATCACCATGGGAGGGGCTCAGCCAGCCCCGCCAAATTGGCTCTGCTCCATAATTGTTTCGCGGCCCGGCCCGATGACGAATTTAGTGGCTAAGTCTGTTCGGAAAGGTCAAATACTCGTAGCTGGGAAGGTGAGAAACAAGCGGAGGATAAATCTCCGATTCAACGAGGAGATTGGGGGGTGGCTAACGGCTGTGCAATGATGCCCGTTGGTCGCGAGCCCTGAGGAAGTTCAAGGGAGCTGGGGCAATGAGCGGCGTACGTTGCATGTTGGTTGCATGTCCAACCAACACAGCTGCTACGTGGGATATGAATGGCTAGAAAAGTGGAGGATACTGCCGAGAAGTAACCAGGATGCCGTACATCTCAGTGAATCCAAGCACCATCTGATGCGGCGCCTACCACCAAGTGTTGCTAGTAACCTGATTTAGCCATCAAGGCTCCGCCCGTCTCAAGTTCATCCATACAGCGTGTCTTCCAGCCCTCTCTTGGCCCCCATGCTCACCTTTCTACATACAGGTTAGTAGCCTGAACAACCGAGCGCCGCAGGATAGTGGAGAGCTTGAATGGACTGAGATCTGGCGGCAGATTTTCCTGCAGACGCGGTGTCAGGCTGGCTAAATTATTGGTCCTTACCAAGGGAGGTAATCCTGGGGGCCAAAGATACAATGCCTGTTTCAGGCAGACGCTTATCCCTCTCTCTCCCCTCCTTGCCTTCTTTCTCAATCACCATTCTAACGACACTGGTGTCGCGATGTGTTCGATACTTTCCCGCTTGTTACCTTGACAAAATCCAAGACCGACCGGTTCGATGACCCAGAACAATACCATCGACGAACAAATCCTAGGATGGGTTGGCTCTAGCAACGACAGGGGGACCATTGACATTATGTGGTCCTCCTGCATCACCATAATCCTGTGCTGCTGGGTTTCGACATACCCAAACGTTGGTTCGCCGAGCGATAAATGGTACCACATTTTCTACGACAAGATCAGCCTGGCGATGATCAGTATACTCGGTCCCGATTTTCTGTTTGGTATAGCTTTTGGACAGTGGTCTAGCGCTAGGAGGAGTGTCCAGGTTGGCGATACCCGTGGTAGTATTGGCTTTCCGACTGGAATGGAAAGCGTACCGGGCGACCACCGCTAACTGCAACTTTCCCTACAGACTTTTCAGAAAGACAAGCATCTTTGCAACGGCGAAAAATGGACATACACTCACGCATTTTTCATCGATATGGGAGGAATTCATCTCACTAGTCCCGACTTCCAAGGCGGCTTCCCCATCAATGCCGAACAACTACACTATCTAGTTTTGCACAAACACCTCGACTTCCCGGATATGGAGACGATGGAGATTTCAGAGAGAAACAGTCTTGATAGACTCTCACGGTAAGCATCACGGCCTGATTCAATGTTGATCACCTCTAACCCGTGCTGCTAGACTCATTACTGTCTTCCAAGCTTTCTGGTTCGTCGTCACGGAGATACAAAGATACCACATCGGTTTGCCAATGACAACACTAGAGCTGACCGCGCTATCATTCACGTTCATTATGTTTTCGACATCGATACTGTGGTACGCGAAGCCATCTATCACGCAACCGCGTACCATCAGCACCAAAGAGAATAAGACAATCGCGGCAATCCGCGATTTTGCCAGGTCCAATGTAAGGTTCTCTTCCCCTAGCCGCTGGTGGCTACATTTACTAACGTTTGATGGTTGCAGACGCACCCAAACATGCCTGACACGTGGTTTCAGACACCATTGGAATTTATCGGCGAAGAACGGTTTCGAATCAATGCTCACTGGCAGTACTATGTCAAGGTGACACACAAACTACACCTCTGGATTGTCTCCCGGCCCATCAAAGTCCGCCCCTGGGACAGATTCCCATCAGACCTCTGGATCTGCCCAGACCTGGTATTCGCTCCGGTTGCAGCGGCTATCTTAGTCGGTTTCAGCGTCTTGTTTCTCCCAGCATGGAATTTCCATTTTCCGACACCTACAGAACAACTCCTGTGGAGAATCTGTAGTACCTATCATGCAGTCTTCAGTCTCTATGGTGGCGGTTACTATTTAATCGAAATGTTCCGAAACCGCCGGCAATACCTGCGGCGAGTGCGGGGACCACCTCTAGAGCGTGCCATCCCACTTCAAGACCTGGAGTCTCAGAGGACTGTCCAAGTTGATGAACAACCAAATACATTTCGAGAAAGGATTCTGAGAAGCGTGGTGGATTGGATCAAAGAATGCAGAAATATATCTGATGGCCGAGACCCAAACATGGCTATTCCGCTGCGGATCTTGTTTCCAGTTTCTATCACCTGTGCCCTCTATGTCGCATGTCGGTTTTATATATATTTTGAGGATTTTTTTTCCCTGAGGGCACAACCAGCAGGAGTGTTTCTCTCGGTGAACAAGTTCATTCCCTTCCTCGTGGGACCTTGAAGTATATTTCTTTCAATTTTAATATTATTAAACCTACTGGGCCGGGCTTGTACTGCTTGCAAAATTCGCACTATCTATTATTAAAACATTCCCCCTAGAGTACAAAATTATTCATCGTAAGCTCATAATAACCCATTATCTTGAAGCTATCATTGATGTGTGAGAATGTATATGTGTTAATGATAATTTGCCTTTACATACATTGCACTGGCTGTATTATCTTATCTGCTGATTTCTTTCGCATACTCTTCTTTCGAACTTGTCCTTCTGTTGGTGTCAAGGATCGCTCAGCTTGTCTCTTGCCTATCAGTAAATATGGACTGGTTGAGACAGCTTGGTGACGATGTATGATCTTGTCTTTTTCTCTAAGTAGGAAGGAAGAAAGCTAGCTATTTATACCCAGAGATCCGGCTGATCCAGATGCTCTTGATCCGATGAAGCCGTCATTAGCCGATGATCTAGGTTATTGAGGGTGGACTAGGCTCAAAGGAAACCACAGTACGAATCCGGTCTTATGCAAAGCTGACCTTTCCTTTCCAGCTATCTGACATTGCTATCAATGATCACAACCATATATTTGAGACCGGTAGCGACGGGGAAGACAAATTCGATGCCCTTGAGGACGCCACTGGTGGACACATGCCCTACTGGTCTCCTATATTTAATTATATTCTCTTCAATACTTGAGGGCACTATGACTTGTACACTTGCTGGATTCTAAGTATATGACCTTCTCAAACATTTTACTCTCCACCATTTCTCACCAAAGCAGACTTCCTCTAACTAGTGCGCAAACAATACAGGTCTCGCTCTAGCGGATGAAGTATATCGCTCCACATGTTAGTGCCGCGATAATCGCAAAATTGCTTATTGCATTCCATAGTAAATTGTGGTATGCCTAGGTTGACATCTCGACATCTCGACATTTCTATGGTGGAATGCTTGAGTATGGTAGGAGAAAAAGACAACTTGCTGAACTTCCCTGGTAGCTTTCGACCGAATGACCTTGAAATAGGGCACAGCTTGGAATACCCTGACAAGTGGGATATTTAATCTGACGTCAATAATATCCACTGTACTATCAAGGATCAAGGCTGATGATAGTGTCTAACGAATGGGCGTTCTCCGTTCCAATGACTATAACGAGCATTTGAGCATCGATTGAGGGACCGGTTGAGTGCCAGGGGATTTTCCTCGATTCGCGTCTGGTAAGGGTAATTACTCTCCCATTCGATGCCGCCTGCCTGGTAATGCTACCGAATGAGCAGTCGATTCTGAGATCTAACAAGAGGACTCAAGCCAAACTTCTCCTTTTGTGCGCGGAGGGACGGATTAGTTGGGCCCATAACATGTCCCCATAGAGGCGACATGGTGCTCCACGTTGGGTAGTGCCAGTTGCATGTGAGTACCGCTTTCCAGACGGCTTTAGCAATGAACTGTAAGGTGTGTGTTAAGTTGACACTCTCCGTGGTCACTGGGTCCTTCGGCGAGGTTAGTTTAACTAAATCATGGTCAGGCGTACTGCGCTGCACTCGTTCTTCAATCCATCAAGTTCGTCTAATTAACTCTTGACGAGATTATCAATTCATCTCTTATGATTTGCTACACTGTCCTGCCTGACAACGATGACCGAAAGTGGATAAGTGGTTCACCGAAAATCGCGCAAACCCTTATGTACCATCAAATCTCGCACCAACCCAACAAGTTGTGGATTCACCACAACATCCAGCATCGGTTGAATGGTCTAGTGGTTATGACGATCGCCTCACAAACAATGAACGCGATAGGTCTCGGGTTCGACCCCCGGTTCGACCTTGTTACATTCTTTTTGGTCGTGTTATACGGTGTTTCATTCACAAAGCGATCCAGTCCGGGATTTGGTGGTGCAGCAATGACACTTATGTCAGCTACCTGATTGGCTTGCGCTATACTACATCTAGACTAGTGGATTGCGGGGATTCTTTTCTTTTTTGACGGAGCCCGACTCACATGGGAATAATTGTACGCATAACTCAAGGATTAAGTAGTTTCGCACAGAGACTCCGCGTTTAATAATGTGCCGCTCAAAGGACAAAGCCTAGGTAGGTCTAAAGAAGCAGCACTTGAGACACGAATGACGAGCACTAGTATAAATAAATTGCTGTGCCTGAAGCAGATAGCGCAATATTAATGATGAGTTTATATGTGGTGCAGCGTATTAAGTTGTCATTCTTGTGAAAGACCGTGAATGCAGGTCTTAAAAAAAGACATCGCTGGAGCCCATACTCGGTTGACGATGAGGCGTCCTAGTTGCATTTTAAAGCGTTATGAATTTAACAACAATTCCTTGAGGTCCGTTTCACTTTGAATCGGTCATCCGTCGGCTCGCCCGCGTAACGTCAGGGTAAGTGGGGCATCATCGGACCGGCTTGCCGGCCTGAACGGCCCCACATTGAATCCGAGACAGGGAATTGGAAAAGAGCCGGCGCAGCGCACGTGGCGCGAGACCGTGAGCAGGGCGATCCTTAACTCTGGAGCAGTTTTTACTCTTCAGAGGCCTTGGACGAGGATAAACTTGCCACGTAGACTCAATAAAGAAAGGGAGATAACAGGAGCGACATACAGACTTAATTAACAAATTCTTTTCTGGGCTCGCTATGCTGTCTCTTAGTTAAGGAATGCATTTAGTGCAGAACATCAAAGGAAGGTATGTTATTTTTGGACTGCTATTAATGCCAAATCCTGGGTTAAAATAGCGATACTGTCGTCACAGTGTGATGAAGAAGTGGATGTCTACTGTAGAATACCACAGTCTCAACTACCTCGCTTCGAGTAGGCAGTGAACATGTGTCCTATAGAGCCAATCTGGCTGCTGCAAACCAAATAGATGGTACCTTATATTTAATGTTATTTTGTGTGCGCACTGAGAACATAGTATTGGAGTGAGCTGGTGCTTTATGTGCTTTCTCTGAGGTGAAGCACCTTTAGGTAGCTGTAATCTATAGTGGTTATATTAGGTATAAGCTTCTAAGTAGATATAACATAAGCGTCCTAAACAGACGATGAATGTTTGTTTAAGATCTATTTAACTACCGTATCCGGGTATGAACCCAAAAGCATACTGATCTCGGGCTGAGAGTGAGTTGTTGCCGCTGTCGCCTTCTTACACCAAGAGTGTGTTGGTGTCACAACCGCTGCCATAAACCCCAAATACCGTATTGTTATTATTGGCGCCACCAAGACGGAGAGAGGAACTAACTTAAATGGGCATCGATCGAAGACAGGTGCCTTGAGCTTAACCCAACATTTGATCGGTACTTAAAGTTAGTTATGGCGATTCCCATAGATAACCCCCAGTTATTGACAAACTCATCAATCTCGAAGGAATGGCGCAGATTGTCAAAGTCAAATTGGTGGTTCTACCCGTAAGAGTAGTTCAAGCCCTGACTTACATGAGGGTTACTAGACTGAAGGCTGTGAAGGAGGTCTGACATGTGGTTTTCTTCTCGCTTTACAGCGAAAGCCCTCCACTACAGGAACGTGGAAGTATCAACTCAGGTACATTACGACCTCTTTTTGAATGTGGCTCATGACTGTACAGCGATAGCAGCGCTACCTCTCTTCGTGATGCACTTCCTGCATCAGAGTGGAATCAACCCCTAAGTGGCAGGAATACCTAGATACAAGAACACATAGTTTCACCTCGCGTTGAGGCTGTGAGGGAACAGTATGATTCTTCCAGAAAGTGTCATGAGAAGCCTTCACAAAGATGATTCAGAAGCACCCAAACTCATCCCTTGTATCTGATGATATACAACATAAGACCACATCAACCCTAAACTCAGACTGCACGCACTCTTAGGCTCTTAGATAATGCCTAAAGTAGTGTCAAGGAAAACTTCGGGCCTTGACTCCTATGAGCGCTGTAGTTAGGACATGGGTAACCTTTGGTACCTTGACTTGAAGGGTGCCCCTTTAACTTCAGGCATATCGCGCTCTAGAAGTCTAAGAGGTTGAGACGATTCCGCCTGACTGGGCGACAATAACCCTCCCCAAACATTTATTGAACGCATAATTACCAACTCGTGGTGGACAGTCTGCCAGAAGTCGCAGGCCGGTTTGGGGAGCTACAGGGCATGACCCCTGGAATTTCGGTTGCCAGCTGCCCAACAGTCAGTCTCGAGGACGCCTGACCAGTCCCGGGCACTTGACAGCTGCCAACCAGCTCCAAACTCTCTTATCCAAACTTATTGGCACTCAATTTCAACAACCGGCGATGTGGTTCAATGGTAGAACATCTAGGATATAGCCCGAAAACGGCCAAGATGGCCATATAGTGTACGATGCTTGTGTTCGAGCGTGCGTACTGGAGGGTATACCTGGAAGGTACCTGGTTCAAATCCAGGCGTCGTCACTTTTTGGTCCTTCCTGAAATTGTTGTTATTTTTGGCCCCTGAATTGAGTGATTGTGTGGAAAAAAATGCTCTTGGCCGGTCTGTTGTGTGTGCATCGTCGCCATCCTCTCTGGTGTTTTGCATGTACGGATGGATACTCGGGGGAGCCAATCCCGGACACTCGCCAGCTGCCAACCAACTAACCAAACATAAAGTCTCGTATCCGAAATTCGTTCTACCTACCTATTTAAACGAAGTGCGTGCGTCGTTTAGTTGTTGAGCTCTCAACTCATGTTGTCGACAAGTCAGCCCTGCGTACGGGGCCAACTGTGAGGCCTGTTTCGACCGCGCGTGAGCATCTAGCCCGAGTTCCTCTTAAATTGCCGACCACACAAATGAGAAAATTCTCTACCTATGGCCTCATACTAATGGGTTATTAACAGGTCGATAAAGTAGATCGGTAAGCGTGGAGGAACATCTTCTTTGATCATCGGGGATCTACTTGATTGAGGCGATCACTTCCGACTAGATCATGCTTAATCTATGAATTCTACTGTGACCAAATGTTTCTCGGAGATAAGCGAGACGCTGCTGAGCGATTACAAGTCGAAGGTCAAAGTTTTAGAAGCGGAAGGTTCCTCTGTCTGGGGTGACCATTGAAGCCTGGAGAACAAAATTGAACATTCTCGCAGTTGTAAGCCAAGTTTTCAATCGCACCACTTTGTTCTCAGCAACCGTCAGGATCACGATTACGGGGGTAAAATATTTACATCGCGTTCAGTTTAATAGAATAGGCGCGCTGTCAAGAAAATTGATGGAATTTCTTTTTTGGCATTGGGTGCGATTTCGCTGTCGAGCGATTCAAGACCACGCAAAGCTAGTCTTTCCAAATTGTCGAGACTGGCCATACCAATAAGCCGAGACTGACCGCTGATGGCCGTGTTCATCTTACGAGCGAACGTCTTGGCTCATGGACCTGGCGTGGATTTGGACTAAAATAAGGAAGCCTCCTGTAGAGGTACAGTCGAAGCATAGAACAATACCCTCAAGGAGCTCAGCGCCGGTGTCAATGAACATAAGAGGCTAGTGGGCAACAGGAACGCACCGACTGCAAGCTAGATGAAATTCAAGCTAATCAAAAGATCAACGGCGTGACCTTGGAAATCCTCGATTATTTGTGTTCGGCTCATCAGCTCTAACCCGAGCTTGCCGCTAATCCAAGAAATCTAATTTGTCTTACACCGTCGCTTTAATTTACACCTGGGCACTGGGTCTTTTAGTATTGACTCGATATCCACTGTAGTCAGCCACAAAGTAGCACTCGGGACGGGTAACGACAGGAGTGGGTCAGCCATGGAGGCGTCTTTCACCAGTGAACTAGTCGGTCAAGAAGAAGACCGGGAATGCACAACAATCATGAGCTTGTATTCATGGGCAGATTATCTGAAACCATTGGGCAAGCGCTTTCGCGTCTCAATTTCACTGTATTCATGACTGACACCCTCCGAGCCCAAAGCCAATATGTGACGACCTACACAGGCCATTGTTCGTGCGTTTCAGGGATCATGACCGTTGCCCTGGAAGACGCCTTGACCGTTTGTTTGGATTCCTTGAGCTCTGACCAATCAGCGGCGGGCGCGGTCCAACCTGGTTGGAAAAAGCTGAGGGGCTTTTGGAGACAAGTGACATGACGCGGCACAGCTCGTCTCACCGAACTTGGTTGCATCGTTTTCCAACCATGATCGTGGGGACTTCTCAGTCTTGCCTCCTCTTTTCGAAGCTTCGCGTACCTTTTGCGACCTGAGATCTGGAATGCGCCGGATGCTAGCTCCTCCACCCGCCCGTGCAGCCCGAGACAATGCCAGACGAAACCCAGTCCCGTGATCCCCGCGATCGTGACCCCCGCGATCGCGACTCTCGAGACAGAGACAGAGACAGAGACAGAGACAGGGATAGGGACAGAGACAGGGATAGAAGGGACAGAGCTCACAAGGGAGCCAAAGGAGAGAGGGAGGACAGAGAGGATATACGAGAGAGGGTAGACAGAGAGGACCGGGAGGACAAGGATGACAGCGACGACAGCGATGACAGGAACGACAGAGGAGGGAAGGTAAACAGAGACGACAGAAAAGACGGAGGGGGCAAGGTCGACAGAGATGATATGGATGCCGTGGACGACAGAGGTGACAGAGGTGATAGAGGCGACCGAGTGGATAGAGGAGATCGAGTGGACAGAGGAGACCGAGCTGACAGAAGCAACCGGGTGGACAGAGGTGACAGAGGCGACCGGATGGATAGAGGGGAAAGAGACAGAGTTCGCGATCGTGACAGAGACCGGGACAGAGAGAGGGACAAAATCCCCGAACGCGACCGCAACAGCCACCATCCTCGCGACAGCCAACACCCTCGGGACAGCCAGCACCCTCGTGAAGGCTCTCACCT